AAAGAGACGGATTGGGAACCCCTGAAGGAAAGCCGTGGGGGCAATATAACAATGAAGGGCATGCACCAGGCATAGAAGTCTATCCAGATCAGGATGAGGATAGAGATGAGAAATAGAGGGAAGTAAAATGGGCGAAAGGAGGAGTTACCGTCACGAGCCGCCAAAGTCTTGGGAAGGAAGGAATGATCTAGATAAAGGAGAAGATAAGTTTGGTGGTACAGTGTGCATATGACATTGATGGTGAACAGATCTGACTGACACCACCCACAGGACAAGAGGAGAAGGAAACACTCCTGAAAAGATAGGTGAAATAAAGAGCTCAAGGCAGTGGGCTGAAATTGAGGTCAAGTAAGGGAATGGTGTACCACATTAATGTCCCAATCTGGAAGTACCAGACATCTAGGCAGCTGATAGATCAGGAAAGAATGGATTAAAATGGCAAGGACAGGGGAAAGAAAGATCCTGCAGTAATGGGGAAAACAGAAAGTATGGGATAGGGCTGCCCAATAACCCAATATCAGGCTGACCGAAGACCTCTTTTGAAAAATCCATGCAAAAAATTCAGAAATACCAGCAACTGTAGGACGAGAAGCTGGGGTTCCCCGAGTCAGGGCCAAGGTGCAAAAACATTCCATTTCTGCTGATACACATCCATAAATGAAGGATGAAAGGAATGAGCTAAATGAAATGCCACCAGAAGTGAGAAACCAGATCTCCTCACCAGGGACCAGACAAAAGCCAAGCATGAGGATGGAGGATGTGAAGTGCGGGATGCAGAACTGGCGACTGGGGTTGACAAAAAAGTTTGGGGAATAAAGGAAGAGGGACAGGAGAGAACGGATGTAGCTGAAGTAATCCAAGAAACCACAGTTGAGTCAAAGCCAGAGGATTGGGAACTGGAGATGGGAAGGAAGTGATCCAAAGCCCAACAAAAAACAAGGAGTTTGAGGACGTTGACAGGAAGAGAATGTTCCTTGACAGACCAATGACCTAAAGCCTCCTGGTGATTGACCCATGCACACAGCCCTGAGTCTTGTCCAACCACTATCGGAGATCATTCACAATGTAGGAAGGAAGGGTTATAGGATCATCCAAGTGATCCTGAGCAAAGTTCCATTGATCATGGATGACTCATTGAAGCAATCACTTATGAGCCTGACTGAGGGGTATGAGTTGAGTCATAGAAGACCACATCCCTAAAAGTGATAGAAACTCTTGAGGAGAAAGCGAAGGAGTCAACAGGGAATTCTGAACAGCCAGTTACATAGAACAGTGCTAGAGAGGAGAGGTTGGTGTCCGACTGAGATGGTAGTTGAAGAAAACACACAGATGAATGAGGTACTGGGTAGTGTGAAGGAAGGACTTCTCCCATTTCATCAACCAGCCCTCCCGAGTAGCTTCTAGAAGGAGCTGACAAGTACGACAGGCCTAATCCTGTTCAGAATGAGTGAGAAGAAGCCAGTTGTTCATGTAAAAGTGAAAGTACAACCCCAGAGCATGAAGATGTAGAGAGAAGGTTTGTACCACCCAACAGAAAACATATGGTGCCAAAGCCAGCTTAAAGGGTAGGACACGAAATTGGTACACCACCTCATGATGGACAAACTGAAGATAAGGATGAGAACACTCCAATATGGAATATGCAGATAAGCATTGGAGACATTCATCTTGGTCATCCAAAAACCTGGAGAAAAAGCCCACTGAAAAGTAAGGTAGGATTCCATGGTGAAGCATGGGGTGTGTACATACTGATTGAGATGGTACAGGTCGATGACCGGCCTCCATTCCCCAATCTTTTTGGGAACTACAAACAGATGGGAGTAAAACCCCCACAATCCACGTGGAGCAGGTTCTGTAGCTTGTTCAGTGAAGAAGTTTTACACAGCCTTGAATAGATGCTGGCATGTCAAGGGATCCAGAGGAGAAGGAAACAGAAGGAGAAGGGAGGAAGGGTAAGAAAGTGTATGACGAATCCCTCTGACAAAACTTGGTGAACCCAAACATCAGAGATGTAAAAGCTTCACCAATGAACAAAGGTCGCCAGACATGCTCCCACTGGACCCGATCCCCACCAGGTAGTCACTGGAACCATTGTTGGCATACCATGCATTGTCGTAAAAACCGACAAACAATGGCACTGAGGGTAGGAGGAACAGGCAAGGGCTGGGAAGGGGAGGGTCAGGAGACAGAAATCGGTGCCATGCTTGGCTCCGACAAATGGGCCACCAGATGAGAAAGGGTGGATTGTTGCTGGACTGAAGCCACCTTTGACTCCAAAGATTCCGGGATCATGTCAAACACAAAGCATCTCAAAAATGGGGTCATATGTAGGTCCCATAGATAAGGAGCCAGGATATAGGTCCGTGACAATATGGCATCACGACCCAAAAGTTTCAACAACAGATAAACCATGTTTGCAGGGCCAGAGCTGAAGACAACAGGCAGGCCAAAGTGGTAGTGAGGAGAGAGAGGATGTCCCCAGAAAACCCCTCAGAGTTCCTGTGAAGAGCCTTAGACATGAGCTGGACTGAGAAGAGGTACCACTAAAGAATCATCACAGTAAGACAAAGGTGGGAAAACTAGGCATGAGTAAGATGAATGGAAGATTTGGGATCCACCCCCCAAACAGGCAAAACTGAACCCAACAATTGTTGATCCAGATATGGTCAGTCCGTACCATGATCACTGAGGGCAGACTGATCTGAAGCCTGTGGGAGAATAATGCCATCCCCTACATGGGAGACGAAACACTCGGTGTGAACCTGAATATCAGGGGATGAGAGGAAAACTAAATAAGGTTGGGAGGCAGAATCATGTAATAAGGAAGGATGTGAGTCATCAGAAATAGGAGCAATAGACAAAACATCACATACCTGAGAAATAAAATCCAAGAAAGCTGACAAGGGCTAAACAAAATCCTCAGGTGGGGTTTGGAGTGGCATGGCAAACTCTGGGGGGTGGGGACAAACGATCAAAATCCTCATCAGTCTGACCAGGTTTGAAAGGCTCAGGAGGAAGAGGGACAACAGCAGGAGACAAAGTTGTCCCTTACAATACTCAATCTACCTGCAAATAAAGTCCCTGACACTTCGCCTGCACCTGTGGCCTGAAGTATAGCATCAGACAAGAGAGATGTACCCAAAGTAGTAATGTTAACTTCAGAATTCATGCTTGATACCAAACAAAGAAGCAAAATATTTACAGCAAAATACAGGTAAATCAAACACTTTTGAATATAAAGTAAAAAAAAATTCTTGAAATAAAGTACAATAAATTAAGTTAAACCACCTCGAGAAGTAATGAGCAAAAAGAAAGACATTTGAACTGAAGCATTGTCAAATGAGAAGTGATGGTTCGGTAGTGGTGCATAGAGGGAGTCACATGCATCATGTGATAGTAGTGCTCTCCTATTGGTGGAGAGATGATGCATGATGATTTGCATCAGAGACATGTTGGAATCTTTGATTCCAATAGAGGGGTGCAGAAGGCTTGTGGCATGCATTATAAAAAGTTTGCATATAGAGGGCAGCACAAATCGGGAAAAGCTAATCTTGTGAGCACAGTGAAGTATTGTATTGGAAGAGAAGTTTCTTGGAACTTTTTGACAGATGCCATACCCACTCTATACACATATAGTTGCAATTTCTCAGCCAATTATACTTGGTTGAGCTATATGTTTGTAATCGATAGAATGACTATTTCTCAAGTTATTTCAAAATTGGCACAAAAAAATCCATAGAAAACTTGTCAAATGCTATTAATATTGTTCCTACTTGCATCCACGCTATTCTCACCGATAAATATGTTAGTTAGATAAACAATTAAATCTTATTTAGATTTTAGTTTGTATTCTAGTTAATTATGTGTTAGTTATGTTTTAAAATCTAAATTAAAAAAGATTCATCATTTTTTAAAATATCAGCCAAACTGCCTTGGTCTATCAGGCTTAGTGTAGTAGACAAATGTTCCAACATTCTGATGACGGCTAAAGTGTTGGTGCTGAGAAAAACCCCGAGAATTGTTGACATGTGTCGCGATAAGTAATAATGCTAAAGAACAGGAAAGGAAAATATAACCTCAAAAAAAAAATTTTTTTTCTGAAAAACTAGAAATTAAGAATATAAACTCAGAAGATTTTAAAGATTTTTCAAAGAAAAATTTAAAGGTATGTACATTTTTTCTATTTTTAATTTCAAAAATTTCACTGCACAATACATTGATGATAATACTTTAAATATTCAGAGCCTGAGTGCAAATAACTACAATACAAGAATAACAAATCATTAACTAAACTACTTAATTAAAACAATCTCATTCTTTGTGTACAACAAATTCTTACCAATTGTTGTGAAGATATATGAAAAAAAGCTCAGAGTTATTGTAAATGTTGTTGACCTGTGTACCATTCTCCATACGAGAAGTAGCCAAACGGGTTTATAGTTGAACCTCGTAACCATAAGGTTAAGCAAAAATAATTGATAATAAACTTACCAATATAGGCTTAATCACAAATGGTAGACAACTTACAATTTCTACATCTAAGAACTTCTCAAAAATATTCTGTTTTTAAATAGTCCAGGGAGTTTTTTATTTTCATGTAAATCAACACAACAGCTATCTACATAAACTTTCTTCCAGTTTGAACTGACAGACTAGAGGGAATGCATCTGGGCAATATCATTCACTGTCAACATTTTAGCTACTCTAATTGAACAGTGAGATTTGACTATCATTCTCACAATGCAACCATAAGCCTCAAATAATGGAGAATGTTTTGATAGCAATAGGATGTAAACTATGGATCCACAGATTCACAGTCAAGCAGGCTACCACTGTGCCATACAAAAATATTATAAACACTACTAGAATGCTGGATTACATAGGTAATTAAATTTTTATATTACATGACTGAAAATAATTGAAAATATCTGATGTGCACATAAATATTGTTCTCAATTTTCGTTGCAAAAGTAATTAGTGGCCAACGTGAAGTAACTTACCTTGTAAATGATGTGATCTAAATTGTGGACAACCATACTTAAAGCTTGCATTATTTTAGCTGCTGCTTCATACCTGTGGTTCATGAGACATGCCATCAAAACTGGCAACAAGCGTTTAGATGTCACCAAGTTTGTAGGTCCTGTATAAAAATATTACAAGAACCATAACATTTATTTATAAAGAAATGGTAAAAGAATCTATTGACAAAGCATTAGATCTTACTTTACAAAGCTGCTAGTTGGTGCTTTCAAACTTGTTTATTCACAAACACTGTGAATTACACACACTGTTTTGGAGACTTGCATGCCACTGGCCTTTAATGAACTCCCACCTAATCTCACGAGACTTCTTGTGAATTGCAACTGCATAATATTGTCATTATGTGGCAAAAACCCTCTAGCAATTTATACTCATTAATCTTCTTTCTTTGACAAGGCAAGCATGAAATTATGCACCAGAAGTAGTGAGAATGGGTGTGAAGAGGTGGACATCAATTCAAAATACATTTTCAGATAACGAAAAATATTAATTTACGATATGATACCACACTTCTGCACACAGTAAGCTAGAATCCCACAGTGAAGTGGTGGAGGGGCTGGTGCAAAGAATTACCTAGATGAGATTCCATCAATAGAAACACCCAAAGGAAGCCAATGGAGTGTGACACCCAATGGCAAGGGCTCCATAAGAGCACATATATGTAAGACCACATCTCATCTCTTCTAGGGTATATTCTTTGCCCAAGAATAAATGGAGGAAGAGGCAAAAGAGCCCCATGTGTTGCTGGAATAGACAGAATAAAAATATGGCCTTCTGAGTACTTGCACCCAAGAGGTAAAATAGACTATATATGTAGCTTGGTTGGGGCATGTTCAGACTGTGCCTTGTGCTCATCTCAACTCTATCATCAAACTTTATTAGACCAACACTAGCTGTGAGAGGTAGGCACAGTAGTCATGTTATAGAGAAGGATATGGTGTGTGCACACCTCGACTCACTTGAAAATACATCAACTGCAGAAGGAGGGCATAGTTGCAGGCTGCAAAAGGATGGAACAATATTATTTTATATGCTAAACAGCCTCTGACTACAGGAAGAGAGCACAACTGGCACAATTAGGACAGTCAGGAGAATGCTGATGCCAGATAGACCAATGGTGAAAGACATGCTATTACAATAGTAGATGGACAAAGTGGAAGGGCAACAGCAATGAGAAAGGAAAAATGGCTACATGGTTAGAAAGTCTAGTTGTACAAGCAAGGAACCAGACAAATTCCAAATGTGATGGTGGAGGGATGAGATATCTTAATGGAACAGTGAAGTGAAAGGTTTAATTCATTCACTGCAGCTGGGACATATATTTCCCGTTGTTCCCACCCCCTCACACTATGACTGAGACAAATGTTTCTCACTGTCAATGCTGTTTAAGCTTTCCTCTGCTGGGTCCAGGTTCATCATCTTGAATATCATCACTAGATGGAAAGCTAGCATCCTCTTGCATCATTGCCTCTTCATAATCAGGCATTTGTATTCCACTTTACTCACTTTCACTATCTTGTACACTATCTGAGTCTAGCACATAAAGCATATTTACATAGTAATTAGGGTTACTACTTGCCACTCTAGTGATGCAGACATGGTTGCCATGCAGTTGTCATATATTCTGCTTAGGCATCTGGTTGGTTACTGAAGGGATGACTGGAAAACATTGAGGGAAACCATATATCTACATTAGGTGGGATGCCAATATATACTTTCCAACTCAGTTTACTCCCAAACGTCACATGATTTTGAATCACAATTGGAACATTTGTCCCAGTTGCAGTGTAAGGTAGGTGGGATTACTGGGAAATATACATCCTAGTCACAGTGAAATGCTTAAGAAAGAGAGAGTGGGTATAGATAGCTGGGGAAAAATGGGATCGGGTTGTCAGGTGGTACAGAAGAAGGAACCAAGGTTGAGCTAGCTAAAGGGGTGCCACCGAGAGGACATGACAAAACTGTCATAAATCAAGGCCAGGACAAGAGGTAGGTATGCATAAAGGAAAATATGAGACCAGTCTTGGCTCAAAGCATTTACAGCCAGGAATAAAGGATGAGGAACAGGAAACCAAAAGAGAAGAAGTTTGGAATTGAGAAGGATGTCAAAAACATTGGTGATTGGAATCTCCAAGAGAGCACAACAGCAGAAAACATGGGTGTGATAAGACCATTCCATGGGCAGAACATGGTCTAGCTGAAAGAGGTTATTTGCATATAGATTAATAGGCCCGGTACATGGCAGTTGATGAGATGAACCCATAGAAAATTGGACCAATAAAGAAGATCCAGGGTTTGAAGGCAAAGGGTCCTGGAATTGGTAACCCCTTGGCAGTTGATATAGAAAACAACTAAGGAGTTGTCAAAATGGATCAAAACTAAATAATCCACAAAAATGGGTAAGAAATTGGAACATGCCCACTGGACTGTCAGAATTTTAAAGCATGTTGATATGGAGAGAGGACTAATCCTGGAACCATATGCCTGATGCACGATTGTTGTTAAGAGATACGACTCATCCTGGAACCTTGTGTCCAATGTGAGATTGTCATTCAGGGATAATCCCCAACCAGAGAGGGTAGAGATAAAAGAAAACCAATAGTGGTATTGGATCAGTCAAGCCATCATGACAGATGCCTGAGTAGAGGAGTGGACATGTGAACCATTAAGATCAAAGGTTCCCATGAGTGGTTAACTGGTCACACAAAAAATTTTGAAATGTTGATGAGCCACCCATAACAGGCAACTTCCTGTAGAAGAAGAGATGTATGAAGGGAAGATAATTCTCTGGAGTGGGACAGGAGAAGCCAATCATTCATGTAGAAGTGGAATGTTAGTCCCAGTCCATGCAAATGGAAAGCAAAGTTCCTAACCATGTGATTGAAGACATCAGGGGCTGAACAAAAAAGCTGAAACTGGAAGATACAATCCTGACAAACAAAGCAAAAGAAACATTGTGAAGATCCTGCAATGGGGATATGCAGGAATGCATCTGAAACGTTGACCTTGGTTACCCACAGTCTGAGTAAAAAGACCAACAGATGGAAATGAAATTTTTCACAAAAAAGTGTGGGAAGACCATATATGGTTAAGTGAAGAAGGGTCAATAACCAAATGCCAGTCCCTGGCCTGTATGAGGACCATGAGGAGATGAAAGTAAAACTCTATGGCATGTTTGTCCAACAAATCAGACACTGCCTCCTTGAAATGTTGTAGATAGATGGGATTGGATGGAAGAGGAAAAAAAAACAGAATGAGGGCTGAGAAGGGAAGAGAACTGGAAAGTCCATGGTTATGAAGTACAGTATCCAAAATGTCTGTTTAAAAGTGTGACCACAGGTGTGCAAACCACTCCAGATGGGCCCCATGGGACCTGACACAACTGGATAGTCACCAATGAGCTTGATGAATTTTAAGCCAGGTAGAAGAAGAAAGTCGAGAGGTAGGAATCAAAAAATAGGAAACAGAGGGACTAAGTCGAGATTCAGAGATGGAGGATTGGATATGGAAAAGTCTAGAAACTTAGGACGAAAGCAAAAATTTATAATGGGCAGCCTTTGTCTATGATTCCATAGAATTAGGAATATCCACAAAAACTTCAGGGGGAAAGATCTCCTGGAAAGGAAGAAGGAAGTCAAACCTGGGAAAAGAGTATCCCTACCAAACCAGTCTTAACAACAAATGAGCCAAGTGAAAGGGGAAAATGCAGAAGTGGAACAGGCTATAGTGGAGAAGAGAAGGGAATGAGAATCACCCAGAAAATTTTCTGGGGCACAGTGGAGTACCTCAGACATGAGGTGTAGAGAAGAGAGGTAACAAAGTATAGTAAAAAGAATCAGGTGAAGACAGAAGTATTGGGCACTAGAGAAATTCAAAATGACTGTAAGCCAGAATATAACAATCAGCCAGATAAGGTGAGGTGAGATATGAGGTTGCAGGAATCTAGGTGGTCAACGAAGGAATCAACTCGAATGCCAATGTCAGGAAAAGGAGAGAAAACAAAAAAGTTGTAAGGGTGAGGATTATGAAAGAGGGAATGAAAAGAGTAATATGACACATAGGAAAAAGAAAGAATGGTAATTACACACCAGTGATATTAAGTCCTGATAATGTGAGGAAGTTTGAGGGTTCTCTTCAACAGAGAAAGAAGTTCCCAAAGCATAACCAGGAGGAGGAAACAAGCAATCAAATTCGTCCTTCTTATTAACCCATTCAAAACTAAGGGAAAAAAATGCCTGAAGAAGGGACAGGAGCTAAAGGTCCTAGCTGCATAAAAAAACCCACTACCCTATGCACAATGGCTGTCACATCATTCTCAATCAACATGCCTCCAAAAGCTATAGTGGATACATAATCTGTGTGAAGAAATTCTTCACTTGCACAAATAGTAGATGTTACATGAACTTGTGAGTTTACAGTTTGCAGAAAAAATGAAATTAAGTTTCTTAAGCTTCACAAATCTCATTAAATGGAAAATTAAAGTCTGATGTATTTAGTCGAGGAAAAGAATGAATATTCACAAGAGCGAATACATAAAGGGAGTAAGTGCACAAGAAAGTTGTCACTCTTTTATTGGTGGACTTTTACTGCGTAATGGCATCATTGTGCAATTCCTGAGAAATCTCTTGAGATTAAGAGGGAGTTCACTAAAGGCTAGTGGCATGCAAATCTCTAAGGCTGAGAAGTGGGGAAATTAACTTACTGTGTGCAAAAGACTAGTATTGTCTCAGAAGTTGTCTCTTTCTACTTATATGATATTCAACTTTCACGGAAAGTCAAAACCAAACAAAACTATTGTTTTATGCTAGCAAAGTACAGTAAAATATTCCTAACTACTTTGTTTGAAACACTGATATTCTTTTTTCTTCAAAAAACATAAAGCAACCTTATCTTTTATGTTTGCTCTGTGCAAAATATGTCTAAATAAAGTATTAAACTTCACTGCCTACTCAGATATTAAAACATGCTATAATTTAAAATTAAACCAAACATGGTTAGATATCGTGAATTTGTTCTGGCTTTGAATCATATTTTGATTAAAACATTTTTAAATCAAACTAATAGTATAAAAATTATTAAGTAGGATGTTATTAATATTTTTAGTAGTTTGAACAAAATATTAAAATACACATTAAAACTCAGAAGTGGTAACTAGATTTATAATGTTACCTACCTAATTGTTTTCTTGACATTTCCTCATGCAACTGACATGCATATGGTGAAGTTATCTAAACAGACTGAGTCAAGTGTGGCAAGCCATACGATACATATTAAAGTAATTTTTTTCTTATGAGGACATGTTTTTTTTGGCTGTTTTACTTGATGTTTTTCATAAAATGCCATGGCTTTGCTGTATGCTGTGACTAATTTTGAGTATTGAAGAGCGTATAATGGCATTCCAATAACATTTCTTGCATGCCTTTGCCAACAAAGTGTTTTATTCAAGCCAGAGATAACTAACTGGATTATTACCCACAATAAAGTGCTTTGAAATACTATTTTCTTACCGGAAACACAAACTAGGGAGGTAAAAATATTTTGTGATTAAAACTATTATTAGTTTTATACTGTTTGTGTATGGGGTGGAAATATATTTTAGTTGAATGCTGACATGAAAAATAAAATATGACTGTATTTTAGATATAATGTAAATAAGTTTAAAAATTACCTTTAGTTATGCATTAGTCTTACGTCACATCTTGAGAAAAAACAAAAAAAACATGCAAGTGACAGTTGTAAGTCAACAGACACAAAAAATGCTCTGTAAGAATAGCTTGCAAGACAATATCCTATATATCTAGTACTTGCTCTTCCTTTAAGAATAGACAACAAAACTGGACATGAGATACAAATATCCTACAACTTACGGGTTGCTTTGAGAGTAACATTCTGTGTAACTGGAACAGATTCATAAATAGGCTTGTCATGTTCTACCAAGAGCTTTAAAGTGAGCTTCTAAAAAAAAAAAATTCATCAGTGTGAATATCATAATCATTTTCTCTGAATGTAAACTCAATCTAATCTTGTACATATAAAAGGTAGTAATTTAACTTTATAACAGCAATAACAGTGATGTTTTGTCATACTCACCACCGATTTAGACAAAATAATTTCTTTTTATTCAATACTGCACTTTGCAATAAAAAACAACAGCTAGGGAGCACGAAATATTTTGACATTAACTTCATGCAACTCTAGCAAAGCAAATACCAACTTCTTATATCCAAACTTTTCACAATAGAACAATGCAATTAAAACAAAGGAATTTCATTGAATATACAATCTCAATGTTTATTCAATATTGTACCTGGCATTAAAATTATCAAGTTTGAGGCCACAGAACATGCATTATTCACTTAATATATCTCAAAGAAAGCAATTTTCCACACTTTTAAAATTAAAAGGATGAACTAACTAACATCAAACCAGGATTCTGTTAATATAAAACGAAATATGTGTTAATAATGTTATTTGACTTAAAATAGAAACCTCTAGATATTTTGAACTATAAGGTATTCCTCTGAGTTCATTCATAAATTTGCAATTTGACACAAGATTTTACAGAAAAATGAATGAATAGGGCACACACAGAACAGTTTGCCTAACTATCTTATGTATCCTGACATGTAATTCTCTCAAAAACTTACAAGCTTATTAAGATCTACGTATATTTCTTCCTTATGTGCATTTATCTTCTTTTCATGACCACCAGCACCTGTTTCTGTCTTTTTCTTCTTACTCTTCTGTGTTCTTTTAAATGTTTTAACCATTTTTCTTTCCTAAACCAAAATACATAATCTGAAAATCTCACAATACATAGTATTAACTAGATAGATTGAGTAATGTGCTGCAGCTTATTGTAACTTATTAAAGTATAATAACACTTTCTTGTATACCTCTGTCAACAAAGCACTTTAAGCCAGAGATCACCAATTTAACATAGAGACAATTAATAACACAGACTATAATGCTACCTTGCTATAAAGAGTTTAAAAGCATCAATCCAAGCTTCAATTTAACCCTTTTGCTGCATAGTTTGGATATATCCAAATAAACATTTATACCCATTGACTGAGAAATTCAAATTTACCCCAGGGCTACCAAAACAAACATCCCTCTATTGCAACATGCAGAAAATCCCCTGTAGTTGAAACAATTGCCAAAACTCAGTGCACACTGACATCTGTGTTCTATGCTGTGAAACCTGGATGTTTATATGCCTCATTACAAAATTGTCAACTTTGCAGGAACACATATATGATGTTGGCCTCTAATTCACTTATTTTGACTATATTTATGCCAGTAACTGGAGAATACTTTTCTTCAAATTTTCCTCAGTTTTTTGTTTGAATCATTATTTTTCACCATCTAATACAGTTTTCAAGGAATATTACTGTCAGATATAGAAAATACAGCTTTTTTTTCAGTATCGAAAAAGTAATACAAAGAGTCAAATCTATACTTTTATTTTTTGGTTGATAATTAACACTTTTGGGGAAAATTAATTGCACAGTGAAAGGGTTAAGCAGATAAAGAATACACACAAACAAACCTTAAGATCTTGCAAAACATAGTGTAACAGAAATGTTCTCTAGATAGATTGGGTAATGTGTTGTCCAATTAATGAATGTACCCTATTATACTGCTTATTAAAATAATAATGATACACACATAAGAAAAAGAAGAAAGACTGCAAAACCCTATTACACTGCTACCTAGTATACATAAGTTTGACAAAAAACTTCAATTTAAGCACACACCTAGTATTAAGCCACACAATTTAAGAGAAAAAGAAGACAAACACAAAGTATACACAATCTTAAAATTCTCTACACAAAATAATATATTGCAAAACATAGTATTAACAGAAATGACACAAAATAGATTGACTGCTACCTAGTATATATGACCTTAACACAGTTAAGGAGAAATAGAAGAAAGACACACACACCTTAAGACCTTACAAAACATAGTATTAACAGAAATGGTTTCTAGACAGGTTGAGTAATGTGTTGCTCAACCAACAAGTGTGCCCTATGATATTGCTAAACACAGTAGATGCAGAAACACACACACACATTTATTATAGCAGTAGCACACACATACAAAGTATACGTAATCTTAACATTACTCTACATAGACACAGTTTGACAGCACTGAGCCTAGCTTCAATTTAAGTAGAAAAAGAAGACTGTACAACCATATTATATTACTACCTAGTATACATAATCTTAACACAGTTTGACAACATGAGAGCCAAGTACCCTACTATATTGCAAGCCCCAATTTAAGCAGAAAAAAAAAAAAGACACATATCTTAAAATCTTGTAAAATAGAGCATTAACAAAAATGGTCTCTAGATAGAGAAACAGCATTGACATAATATAGATAATATATACATGTGCCAGGGCTAATGTTGTTCAGCTTGTATGAAATGTATGCATGTGTTTAAAGATTAAAATAGCTTTTGTAGAACTTATCATTACAAAACCATAAAACTATTAGGTGACTGTAGGGCAGAATAGGAAGACTACATAAATCATCATAAAATACTATTTAATGAGCTTCACAAGAAGCACAAGAGCTCTGAATATATTAAACTTTTACACAAACAACCTGGAGAACATAAAAACAAGCAAATTATTCTGGAACCCAACAAGTTCGCTATGCAGGATGTACCCAAGATATTCACAGTAGTACACAACTTAAGTTACAGAATCTCAAATTGTCCTACCCTCAGACACAACAACAAACCAAATATCCAACATTATGAAACAAGAACTTATTGCCTTGAATCTTCTAAAACATTACGAAACAAGAACTTATTGCCTTGAATCATTACGAGTATATTAGTCCTCCAAAACTTTCTATTCAAGTGTCACTCTGAACTGGGCAGTTGCTGCCATTTTCAACTTTGTAAAAAGATATTTAAAGAACTGTTATAGGCAGCTTCCATCAACAAAAATAATACTTTAACCAAGCTTAAACACTGCTCTAATCTAAACACCTGACCTTCTTACTATGCTGCAGGTTTTTGAACATTATCACAAAGTTCCTTAAATTTAAAGAAACATCCTTCTCTCATACAACAATAAATTCAAAACTGTTTGATAAAACCAGTGTAGTCCTGATAAAACTACTATTACTCAAGACAGATAATAAATTATCAACATTAAGAAGTAGCGGAAATACTTACAAGAAACACAAGAGCTCTGAACATCTTAAACTTTTATGCTATACAATCAACCTGAAGAACGTAAACATGAAATAAATTCTGAAACTCAACAAGTTCTGTCACATGAAATGTAACCCTTTCAGCCTGAGCTACTTTTGTAGGTTATTCTTCCAAGACTTTCTCAACAAGTGTCACCATACACCTGATATGTAAACACACATGCACAATCCAATTACCAACTTGCTAATTAAAATGTCTAAATAGTTTTGTATTTATAACACTTTCTATTATACATCATTATTTTTTACCAAGATTAGAATAGTTTTATGCAAAGTTTTATTGATACTAAATGAAACAATGTTATTTAAGTAAACCGACTCAGTTCACCTACTTGGAACTCCATGGCCTTTTTCCTAAGTAGGACAGAAAGGGTGAAGTGATCCAAATTACATACAACCATGTACTTGTTTAGATTTTGTTTTATATGTCAATCAGATAACTTCCCCATACATTATAGCTTTTTATATATTCTGAATTTAGTATTTCAATATGTCAAGAATACCAGTCTATCACATGTAGCCTAATTAACCTGCTCATAGATTTTATGTCTGCATCACATATGCTATAGTAAATTACATTATTCTTAATGTTGTGTGAATGCCAGTCTATAACCCAATTAAGCAATATATGACATTCTACTCGCTGCTAGAACAAAATCATGCAGCATGAAATTTCTTAAAAAATAATGATTTGTGTATATTGTAATGTTTTTAATGAACGTATTATTTATCATGTTTAGTTCTGTAATACAGTGAAAGAAGTTATTCCAAATAATTTTGATGTGTATATTTGCAATACATTAAATTTTTGTCTTGTAATGTTGTGAAGGTCACTGAAATGAATATAGATGTGTATATATATATATATATATATATATATATTATAGCAAAGAAAAAAAAAGCTGGGCTAGTACATTTTTCATGCAAACTGGCCTTGAGTAAGTTCATCAATTATTCTTACGGCCCTGGCGAGGGTATAATAAACAATGCAAAATAATATTTCAACAGCTACATGTATATCACATTATAAACCCAAGAAGGCTGGGAATTAGAGCTAAGACTGTATTTATCTAACCTAAAAAAAAATTTACTTTTTCATCATAGATTAGAAATTGTTGCTAGAATGTCCAAAATTCACTAAAAAAAAGTTCCATATTCTGAATTTTTTGCTTTAATCGTGTGACTTTGCAATAAATATTAGAAAAATATACAGTAATATCTTAGGTTTTAACTGCTTACCGTTTATCTTCTACTCACATTTCATCATAAAATTAGACCATAAAGTTTTTATTTTTAACATAATGACCAGAACATACATCTGATAAATTGTTTAAAACTTATAGCACATTGTCTCACAATGACAACAAATCATGTGTAACACAATTATATTAATTTATTGCTTAGTAACATTATTCCTGACAATAAGTATTCTATGGCAAATATTGAAATTTGACTTTAATCAAGATGAACAAAGGTGAAATGGGTAGCAACTACCTAGTTAAGAATGACACTTTAATAAGTCTTGGAGAACTATGCAACAAAAGTAGCTCAGGTAGATAGGGTAACATTTGGTAATATGTTATCCTCTCTATACAAAAGAACACAGAAATATTATTATGACATTATTATGTGATACCACAAGAGGGCAGGACAGATGTTCTCATACAGCTGACAAAATTATTGCATGATAGATTCCTTTAGATTTTGAGATAAAAGTATAACATTAACAGTTTAACTGTCACATTTATTTCAGTAATCAAGTTTAGGCTTATGGTTATACCTTAGCATAAAAATCATGCCAAATAACTCTTAACATTTGCACCAACCAACAAATATTTAATGGGCACGTCTAGAACTTGAATATTGGGTTAATCATACAAATCACTAGGTTAGAAAATGCACAGCTAACTGTATCTTGATCAGTTTTTAGTTAAGTTGTGCACAATCTGGGAAAGTTAAGTGCTATTTAGACCTCTTCCTCCCTTCTTTGCTCTTTATATATTTACTGTCAAATGCTACATTTATTTTTTCATGAGATTAGGGCATCCAAATTTAAATAACTACTCTGGTACTTCTTCCTTCTTCAGGGCCATGTCCATGAATATAATTCTTATAGCATTCAGTGCTATTTCACCACTTCTATTCATTTGGTCACATAAAAATAGTTGCCTACTCTTATTCTCAAACACTTCCATAGCAAAATGCACTTTTTCACTTGATAGAGTTAACAGATGCATATTACACATAAATAACTTTTTGAATACACTTTTGATATCTAAATCTAAGTGATATTTATGGTCTAGTATGGGTGGACTTTTTCTTATAATACACATTGAGTAGAGAGAGAGATACTTAGGATCATAGTTATCATATATAATGATCTATGGAGGTAAATAAATCACTTTTGTAGAGATTTTTCTTAAAATATTTGAACGAGCAATCTAGGAGTCTGTCATAAATTGTTTGTAAGTTTGCATACAAGTGCATGAATTTTATTTGTTGATCTGTGTATCCTAAAAGCAGTAGTGATTATTCAGTTTTGTATTCTTTGTAGTTTGGCAATGTGCAACGGTGCAATGTTACTCCATGCAAGGTAGGCATATTCTATTACTGGTCAAATATATTGTTTATATTTTATTTTGAATTTAATGATGTTTTCTGGCGATGCTCCAATGCTTTTACCCGACAGTCTTCTAACAAAGACCTGCCATACTTAGCTTGTAATTTGGGTGATATGGTTTTTTTCCATAATTTTTGAACCATATGTTAATTCAAGGAATTTTGCATGTTTGGCAATATGAAGACGGGTCCCATGCAAGTATGGTTCTGATATCTACGTGTTTTTATTGAATTTGAGAATAATATTAGATGGTTTTCCATAGAGTTATCTTACTTAAATGTTTTTGAAAGTATTCCACTATTTGAATTAATGCACAGCCAAGTACGTCTTATACTTATAAACAGTAATTAAAAAACTTTCAAGAAATTTAAGTTCATCTACACAACAAACCTACAGCTACAACTTGTATGAGATGTAGGTTTCCACACTACCTTAATCATTAATGTTAACTCATATCAAAAGGTTTGAGTTTGGCTATACCAATATATTTTAAAATATAACACTGTACTTTTAGCTTTAATAATAATTAGTAATATTATTTATTGAATTTTAAATTGATAACAACTTCCAAAGTTACCAGTAGTAGTAGTAGTACTATAACTTAAGTAAATAATTGTAAATTTTAATTTATAACACTACCATTATACCTAAGTCTAAAATTAAAATCGCTTACTTAATTACTAATAATGTAGGATGATTTTTTTTTTAACTGTATAAATTTCTAAGAATTATGAATAAAAGTTTCGATACTTAGTGGTAGGCCTAAAGTTAAAAACAAAACAATAAAGCATGCCTTTTGAAACACTCTCAACCTCTACAAGCTTTGTATAATGAAACTTCAAAGCATGAAAAGTTATACTATTTGTTTTTGTATATATATAATTATTACTAACCCTGTAGTAACACAAACAGTTACGTCTAATCACATATTACGTGTCATTAATCTGTGTTTTAAATATTAATAAAAATATCTACAAAATATTAAATGTTTTTAATTTCAAACGAAGTAGTAGCGGTTTCGGAATACATTTTATATCTCGTAGTATTACGCAATTTCATAAAGGCTTGCAATGCAAAATTAAGAATATAGAAATTCAATAGTTTGTATGACAAAAATAAAAACTGTTAGTTTTAATACAATATTTAGATGAAGGTTTGTTTCAAGCTTTTAAGAAATGCAGCAAGTCGCCATAACTATAGTATTTCATAAATTATGTTATTGATCTTTGTCCTAAAAATCGTTTTGGTAAATGACTTAAATAAATTGATAATAATTGCAATTCACTACTTTATCTAGTGCACACCATAATGCTGGTTGTTCATGAAAATTGATGATATTGTTACGTATCTGCTTGTTTGCTAATTTCCGGTATAAATTCTTTCCGAGGAACTTCACCGATAGAAGTCCTTTCTTAATTAAAACTAGTTTATCTTTCTCGATACAACTTTGTAATACACAGAATTTCCGCAGTCACTTTAAACTTAACAACCTT